GCTGATTGCTCATGATGTTTAGAGTTGGTCTTACTGGATTTTGTCATTTTCTGTTTTTTCTTTTCTGGTTTTATTCTAAAAGCAATTTAGAAGACAGCTAAATTCTTAAGATGGAGTGAACTGGATCATCCTTTGCCTATCTTTTTCAACCCCATTTGCTACGATTCTTCCCTCCGCTTAGTTTCCAGAAACATTGGCGTCTGCTCAGGTATGTGAAGGGTACTAACCTGACTTGCTACTAAGTCAGGTTCTTGGCACATGTTCTTCCCTCTCAGTGGAAGGCATTTCAATCCACTTTCCCCCAAGGTAGCTTTCGTTTAGGTTAAATGTCACATCCTTCAGAGATCCCTAAACTCATTAGTCGCCTTTGTAATTCTCTTCTAGTAGCTTTTTCTTATCATTGCACTTACCATAATTACAATTACATATATGTACTTTTATGTAATGGTTGCCTGTCCCACTAGCGTGTGATCACTATCAGTTGTGGGGACATTCTAGGTATGGTTTTTATGACTGAAGCCGGGGAAGAGGAAACCTAGTTGAAATTCAGTAAAGTGATAGGAGCCAGAAGAGGCAGGTAAAGTTGAAAATAAAACATGCCATTCAAAGATTTAAAAAAGAATTGCAGTCTGAAAACCACTTAGTGGAGGGCAAAATGCTTAACACACGTCAATGGGCCCTGATAATAGATGTAAAATGAGTACCCTTAATGAGAGATCAAGAAATTTAGGATGTGCAGAAATCAGAATCCATGTACATTGATGGTAGGAATGTAAAATGGTATCTTTGGAAAAGTTTGGCAGTTCGTCAAAGAGTTAAATATACAGTATTCTATTTCTAGATATATATCTAAGAGAAATGAAAGCATTTCCACACAAAAACTTGTATATGAAAGTGTATTATTCATAATATAATAAAAGTGAAACAACTCAAATGTCTACCCAATGAGTGAAATGTGGTATATTCATAAAAAAGGAATATCATTCAGCCACAAAAAGGAACAGAGAACTGATACATGTTAGAATATGGATGAACCTTGAAGACACAAAATAAAAGAAGCCAGGCACAAAAGGCCACATTTTGTACGATTTCCTCTAAATGAAATGCTTAGAATATACAAATTCATATGGAAATCAGATTAGTGGTTGTCTAGGGACTAGAAGTATGCGGTATGGAGTGAGTGCCAGAGGGTATAGGATTTTTGAGGGAGAGTGATGAAAATGTTCTAAATTTAGATTGTGGTTTTGGTGGCACAACTTTGAATATACTAAAAACCCATTGATTTGCATACTCTGAATTTTAAATGTCAATTATATCTCCATAAAAATGTTTTAGTATAGTCAATTCTTAGTACTCATGGTAGTAAATTATGTTCTATAAAGTTGCTGCAAACACTGAATTAGCAAATATTGAACCGTTGCTCTTAGGGGAATTATAGTTTCCTGGAAGTCTCCTATCACAACAGTATTGTCAACCTATTCATACATGCCCTTGTTTTATGTGCTTCTATTTAAAGATACTTTATTTAATATAAATTAGAGGCCCAATGCACAAAATCCATGCAGGGGGCGTGGCCCTCACAGTCCCAGCTGCCTCGGGCCTTACAGCCCCAGCTTTGTCTGGAACGTCACCCCATTCTGTTGTTTGATCTAATTAGCATATTAGCTCTTTATTATATAGGATTGTTGATTTATTAACATTGAACTCACGAACAGTAACTGTCACTCATTCCTAAACAAAACTTATCTGAAACATGTCTCTTCCCATAAGGCACATCAGTGTTCTTGCACTTAAAAAAACAGTAGGTAGCATTTCAGCACTAGGCTTGGGGATCATATTAAAGAGCTACCTCACCAACAAAAAGCACAAAATTGCCAAAAAATGTGGCACTAAATAGAATGAAAAGGTTACCTATAGCATGAGCTGAAAGAAGGCAATGTCACCTTGCTTGGACGTGGCTGGGAATGTATGGGTGTGCCTCAGGTACTGTCATTGTGGGGTTACAGTTACATTTTAGTGGTTCAATAGGTGAATATGTAAATATGGAATTCACCAATAAGGATCAGCTGTAGTTTAATTTTTCTACCACAAAGGCTTTTTTTTTTTTTAAAGTTTTGAATTTTAAGGTCTAAACTTCAATGTGGTCGTAATGCTGAATAGATAAAATGCTGAACTGAAGTTATGTTTCAAGAGTGGTTAATAGGAAAAAGTGGTGAAAGGGAACTTTTAGAGGCTTTACACAATTATTTTTTGTTTAATTTCCTCAGTATTTTTAAATAACCATATTTCATGCTACTGATTCTTCTGCCAGAACTTTGAAAGTAAATGTTTATATTTAATTAGCAAAAGTTTGCTTTGAATTTTTTGAGCACAAATGCAGGCTCTACTCCCAGAAAAAGTCTTTTGTTACCACAGAATTTAATTAAAAGGTACTTCAATTTTCAGGTAAAAGAAATACTTACCCAATTGTACTTATATCTGGATGTTGTACTCCTACTTTCCATGTATTTGTAGACATGCTTTCACATACTAGCTACTGCTCGTTTTAATTTCCAAAGTTTTGCAGTATTTGCTTTCAAAAGTATTTTCTACACTTTATTAACTTTAATTTTAGTCTAGCTTTCAAGCCTCAAACTCCCTAAAACAGGAAATGTCAGTCCTTGCTCATAGTTTCTTATAAAATGCTTTTACCAAATTCAGAAATTTAGAGATAAATTAACTGTTTTAGGTTATAAGTAACAATTTTGGCAGGGGGAGCACATTTATAAATATCAAGTGATTATTACATAACTATATTTGTGAGCTTGACTAAGTGTAATCTAATGTCAGAATTTGGCTACAAAATGGTACTTTTTGGATCAATACTTATACCCCCTTTTTGGCAATTAAGATTTCTTTAAAAAGCTTTTTGCTGTTCTTTAATTGAAATTGGTGAATTGAAATTGGCTGATTATCTCAAACCTCCCAATTAAAATAGTGAATCTTGGTAGTTACACATTTATTCAAGAATTTTAAGCTTTAAGATACTGTGGGGTTCTTTAGCCTCTCTTGATCTCTCATAATAAATTGAATAGACATTTTAGGCTTCTCTTCACTTTTTTTTTTTTTTTTTTCCTTTAAATCCCAGTGCCAGATACTCATTTAACAAGCTCTTCTTGCCTGCAGACCAGTCCAATTAGTTTTCTATGCCAATCCCATAACTTTTGCAGTTTTATCCCTGCAATTCCTCTGTATGTGATGGCAACTTCCCTCTTGTTCTGATGTAATAACCACCATTAGATATTAGTGCCAATTTATCCAGTACCCTGTATTATCAAAGTAATGGCCCTCTCCATTACTGATGATCAAAAGTAGACCATAATCTGTTTGTTTGTTAGGACTTCTCATAGTATTTTATTTTGACTAAACAAATTGCCCAGGGTGTATTCATTCTCTTGCTGGCTTTAAAGACATACTTCTTAATTTTAAATATAACATGACATAAAATTCTAGTAAAGATTACTAATTGATCTTGATTAAAAATAAACATTATATAAACATTTTCTAGTAGAGTTGTCTTTAAGGACTTCCAAATATCCTTCACTTAGATGATTTAATTCAAAATAAAAAAATTAAGGAAGTTTCCAGATTATAAGAATTTAACCTGACATTAAACTGATAGAATAGGATTTTTGAACAATTTTTAGTAGGCAGTTGAAATGACCTGAAGTCATTTGGATGAATGTTGTTCTTAGCGAACTATTTTTTATGAAGTGAAATCACTTTCACCAGATAGAGGGTTAAGGGGGAAAAAAAAATCATCATTAAAAAAAATTATTATGAAAGAGTTTGAGTCAAACTGATAACATATGCCAGGGAGCAAGATGTCAAATGTTCCTGAAACAGTATCATTTTTAACAGCTCATAATATTCTATAATTTGAGATACTTCTTATGCAAGATAAAAAATGTGTTCATAAATGAAAGCACTTTGAAGAATAAAATTGGTAGACAAATAGGAAGCACTATTATCCACAATGAGAAGTTACAAGTTTTAAACAGTACAGCCATTTTACATTTCGGCTAAAGAAAATAAAGGCTTATATGAAAAGAAAAGTACACAGAGAAAGGTATCATTTTTAAACATGAAAGGACAAATCAGAAGAAAATTTCAAATTCAGATTTTTGAAATTTTTAATTTATATTTTGGTCTTACAAATAATCATCTTTAAATGACTTTTCTATAAGAATGTAAAGCACAAGAATTTGCTAAAGATCAGATCCACACAAACCCTGAAAAGGTTTTCTGTGTAGTCCTCATTAACGCAAATCTGTGAATATTTCATTCTTACAGTTTTTCTTGAATCTGTTTCACAATAACAAAGCCATAAAGTTTTTATGCAGTTCATTCATTATATACTATAGCGATTCTATTAAAAATAAAGCTGGGGAATATAAAAATATGGGAAAATCTGAGGATCAAGCAACCTGTTGAGGCTTGGTCTATCTTATTTGCTTTGTAGTTTACTGTCATTACTTTCAAAGAGCACATAGTGCGTGAGGGACAGTGTAATCATCTCCCTTATTAACCTCCCTAATTTAAAAATCTGTAGTTCATAAAACTGGACCAATTATCACAAACTATCATTTGCATAATTAGCCACAAGTCTATTACAAAGCACTCTGCTAGTGGTACCAACAAATGTAGGAGGCTAGAAATTTATAAAACATGAATTTGTGAAACTTGCCAAGTCCTTAGATATCCTGTGCTGTGCTGCCACTTCAACTTCAACTTTTAATTAGATGTTTACTGCCTCACAGTAAGATTGATCAAGGGATAAAAGCAAAACTAAATTATTTTCTAGCTGTTCTAACATTTGATAAGGTAACAGAGGATAGGACAAAATTTAATGAAGATTTATATGCGTTCCAACTTTTCACTCAGAAATTCTTCGACACTGTCTGTGTTCCATTTGAGGATGCTTAGTTCTTCAGCAATGTTCCCATTGTCATCCAAAAGCTTTAGTACAGGGTCTGAACCACGAACATACTACAAAAAAAAAAAAAAAAAAAAAAAAGAGGAATATCATCATTTTACATGCTTAGAAGGTTGTCTTTGCCTCAACTAAAATCAAAACAAATGCAACACAGCTTAAACGAATTTAATACAAAAAAGCTTTAGACATATCACAACAGGATTCAAAGGAAACCTTTTGGGAAAAAAATTGAATAAAATTTCATTAAAAAAAGGCAGTAAAAACTTATAATTCACCTCTAAAGAGAAATATTATTGTTACCCTTCCCCCCGCAAAATAAGACATCCTCCGAAAATAAGACCTAATGCATAGAAAGATAAGACATCCCCTGAAAATAAGACCTAGCGCAACTTTGGGAGAAAAAATTAATATAAGACACTGTCTTATTTTCGGGGAAACAGGGTAGTATCAACATAGTTTATTTGGGATTTAAGCTTATTATTGTTTATAACAAATATTTATTGCATACATGTTATTCTCTCACTCTCAAAAGAATTTAAAATCTAATGGAGGAAGCAGATAAGTTCAAAATAACTAACGAGAGAGAATGACTATAAGAGAATACAAATTATCAGATAGAATTCTGCATTGCACTTTGAATTTTCTTTGGTTTAAAAAACCTAATAATTTTATTGCAATTAGTTGAAAATTAAGCTGAATTTCTGAAACTTCTAACCCACTAATTGGGTCCAATATTCACCAGAGAACTGTGAAAATCCTAACTCTGGGTAAATATGACAACAAACATGACTTCCATCTTCAAAAAAGAAATAAGTCAATGTGGAAAAAAGGGGTTCCATTAAAATCACCTTACCTTGGGAAGTGGGGCGGACAGGAAGAGATTAACCAAAGAACATATATGCATAGCTCATCGATGCAGACAATAATGTGGTGAGGCTCAGGGTGTGATGGGGATGGAGTGAAAGGGGACAAAGTGGGGAATATAGGGAACATCTGTAATACTATCAACAATAAATAAATAAAAAGAAAGAAAAAAAATCACCTTACCTTGATTTGCAGTCCTCTGAATAGTTTGGGTTTATCACTTCTGACAAAAGCTTAAGAGAAAAGAAAAAGATGAAAATTATTCATTTCTAAATCCAAGCAAGATACAAAGATCAAAACAAAAAGTAGAAATAAACTCAATAAGTAAAATATTAGATCCTATATGAAAAAAACTAAGGTGATTCAAACAGATATAAAAATGTAAAGACATATTATACACTTCAATGGGAAAAGTGCTGTTATAAATTATTAAGAAAGTATTTTAAGGTGTTAATTGTTTTAAACTAATTACAACCCCAAATTCCAATGAGATTCTGAGCCCTTGACAAAATGATAGGTCAGCTAGAAGAATAAATGTGTGAGGATAGTCTCAGTTTAGAAAAAATAAAATAAGGAAGGAAAATTTGTTCAATTACTTAGGATACTGATACCAGAATAGATTAATCTAGATACAAATATCAGTAGGAATTTTTTAATACTGTTAAACTATCAAATTAGAGAGAGGGAGGCAGGAAGAGAGACATTGATTATAGGTGTTTGCCTCTGGGGTATGTGAGTCAATTAGTCAATACATACTTTTAAGAAAACTGCCAAATTATTTGAGGGAAAAAATAAAAAAACAGAAAAATAGTCGGGTGCCTACATCATATCTTATATCTAAATAAATTTAGATGGATTAACGTTTTAAATTTATTCAACAAATATTTATGGAAAACCCACTGCATGTTGCACAACAGAGATAAAGCTATATAAACAGACATCATTTCTAATCTTAAGGAGTTTATATTCTGGAGAGAAAGAAAAAAGATGAACAAGTAATCACATAAATACATTTAGTTAAAAAAAGAGAGAGAGAGAGAGAGAGAGAGGTTAAGAATACTACCACAGAATTTAATAGACAACTTGAATATGGAATACAAAATTCTCCTAAGTATGACATTAAAAGAAATGCTCTATAGACATGCCTATCTAAAAGTGGAAATTTCAAGACAGTAAAACAGCACCATTAACTAAATAAAAAGTGAAACAACATATGGTAGAAAATTTATCTCTAACATATAATTTATAAAAGTGCTCTTGCAAATTATTAAAAAAATACTAGGCAGATAAATAAACTAAGGACAGGAATATGTCATGTGCAAATAGGTAGATGGTAAACATTTAAATAAATGTCCAGCATAATAATTAAATAAGTGTCAAATAAAACAATGAGATATCTTCAGAGGGACAAAAATGAAAAAGAAAATTTAAGGTTAGAGAGAAGAATTTTGCTGGGGATTAGTTGTGGGAAAAATACGAATGGACACATCCTTCCTGAAGGGTATTTAGACAAATGAATCAAAAATCTTAAAATTACATACTCTTTAAAACTGCAAGTCCCGGAGAAACCAAGATGGCGGCGTAGGTAGACAACTAAACTGCTGCTTTGTACAACAATTTCAAAACTACAACTAAAGGACAAAATGTCTATCACCCAGAACCATGGGAAAGCTGGCTGAATGGAAGTCTTATAACTAGAAGGGAAGAGAAAGGAGCACAAACGCTGAAAAGCTGAGGAGCCTAGGTACCGAGGAGCGAATCGGGCTGGTGGTGGATGACTGGGTGCGCGGCTTTTTTTCCACCCGAAGGGAAACAAGCTCCCCATCACTTTGAAATCCAGTTTCCACACAGAGGACCCAGACGCCTACAGGAAGCAGCTGGTCTGTCAGCCATTGGGTCCAAAAGTGAGGGTGACTTTTTTGCAGAGGTGGGCACAAGCAATCATTGTTTACTGCGCTGGAGTGTGGGATGCAGGCAATTGGAAACAGGGAAAGGCAGAGAGGCTGATTGCAGCAATCGCTGTTTGCCACTCCCCAGCCTAGTGACATCCTGAGACCCCACCCCGCACATTATACAAACCGTCCAAGCTCTACACAGGGGCTTTTGCATATATTATAAATGGCCTCCCTGTGGCAGCTTAATGAAATAAACTGCAGCTCCAGTCAGACTGCTCTAAAACCGCCCAATTCCAATCAAAGAGGAGAAAACTGTAGTTCTTGCTGTAGCTTCTGCTGGGTGGCCTCAGACAGTAACTGACTTGCATCCCATTGGAGAACCAGAAACTAATACTAGTGGTCTATGTGAAATGACACCAGATTTCAACTACTCTCATAAAGGACACATTCAAAAGGCAGACTCAGTGAGCACCAAAGCCCTACTGGAACAAGTCCTGCCCCATAAACGTGCCCCCAGCACTGCAATTCTTCTGTTATAGATACAGAGGGTCCTAACAGCCAATTGGTCTGGAGGTCAATTCTTCCCAGTGATACCATCAACAATCAAGACTTAACTACAAGTCTGTACAAACAGCCCACAAAGGGCTGCACCAAGAGTGTCTACCTCAGGTAGCTGGGGTGGCTGACACACTGGCCATATAGGACACCAAACAGGCAAAGTTACCTTACCAACTCTGGGAAGCAGCGAAAATGCCGAGACAAGGAAATAGATCTCAAAAGAAAGAAATGGAGGAGAACAAAAAACTGGATATACAGTTCAAAACCATGGTTATAAGGTTTTTCAAGAATTTCCTAGGAAAGACCGATAAATTTAATGAGACCCTTGAGGATATGAAAAAGGACCAACTAGAAATTAAACATACACTGACTGAAATAAAAAAAATATACAGAGACCCAACAGCAGACTAGAGGAACGCAAGAATCAAGTCAAAGATTTGGAATACAAAGAGGCTAAAGACACTCCTCTGGAGAAGCAAGATAAGAGAATCCAGAAAGTTGAAGATAGCGTAAGAAGCCTCTGGGACAACTTCAAGCAAACCAACATCAGAATTGTGGGGGTGCCAGAAGAAGAGAGAGAGCAAGACACTGAAAACCTATTTGAAGAAATAATGACAGAAAACTTCCCCCACCTGGTGAAAGAAATAGACTTACAAGTCCAGGAAGCGCACAGAACCCCAAACAAAAGGAATCCAAAGAGGACCACACAAAGATACATCATTATTAAAATGCCAGGAGCAAAAGACAAAGAGAGAATCTTACAAGCAGTAAGAGAAAAACAGTTGGTTACCTATAAGGGGAGCACCCATAAGACTATCAGCAGGCCAGACAGGAGTGGCAGGAAATATTCAAAGTGATGAATAGCAAGCACCTACAACCAAGTTTACTCTACCTAGCAAAGCTATCATTCAGAATTGAAGGGCAGATAAAGAGCTTCACAGATCAGAAAAAGCTAAAGGAGTTCATCACCACCAAACCAGTATTATATGAAATGCTGAAGGGTATTCTTTAAGAAGAGGAAGAAGAAAAAAAAAGATAAAAATTTATGATCAACAAATACATATATATTAACAAGTGAATCTGAAAATCAAGTGAATTATTCTGAGGAACAGAATAAACTGGTGAATATAATAGAATCAGGGGCATAGAAAAGGAGCGGATTGATAATTATCAGGGGGAAAGGGGAGTGGGGGTTGCAGGAAGAGACTGGACTAAAAGTGTACACCTATGGATGAGACAATGGTTGGGGGGATGTAAAGGAAGCGGGGGTGGGAACCAGGTAGAAGGGAGCTATGGGGGGAAAAGGAGAAACAATTGTAATAATCTGTGCAATAGTGATTAAATTTGAAAAAAAAATCTGAGGAACAGAATAGACTGGTGAATATAATAAAATCAGGGGAACAGAATGAGAGGGGATTGGTAATTTTTAGGGGGAAAAGGGTGTCTGTGTGGGGGTATGTGAAGAGACTGGACAATAATCATACAACTACGATGAGGACAGCAGGAGAGGGAGGGAGAGGGGGGACCGGGGGGACTAGGTGGAGGGGAGCTACGGGGGGAAAAAATTGAACAATAAAGATTTATTAAATTAAAAAAAAAAACTGCAAGTCTCCTTCTAGGAATTTCTTTAAAGATATAATTACATGATGATGCAAAAATATGTTATAAGCCTAAGCGACTGGCCGGAAGCTATGACGTGCACAGAACAAAGGGTGGAGGGGGAGAGTCCAGGGAGTGGGTAGGGGTAGGGGTAGGGGGGTTCAGAGGGCAGACGCACAATGCAGGAGCTGCCCCCTGGTGTCAGTGTGCTCCCACAGCGGGAGCACTGCTCAACTAATAGATGGGGGCCAGATGCCAGGCTGATGGCTGGCAAGTGCCTCTGTGGCTAGACCATCGGAAAACACAGATATTTACATTATGATTCATTAACAGTAGCACAGATATTTCCGATGGTCTTAGGCTAGACCATCGGAAAACACAGGTATTTACATTACGATTCATTAACAGTAGCAAAATTACAGTTATGAAGTAGCAACGAAAATACAACATGAGGAACTGTATTAAAGGATCGCAACATTAGAAAGGTTGAGAACCACTGATTTAGGACATCACAAAGTTTAATAAATGGGTTTTCTTTTTCTTTTAGGGTTTGAGGACTTGTATGAAAATAGTTTATATCCCATCTAAATTTCCCCTAAAAAATTTAGTTCAAAATAAAACTGATTGTTATTCTGGCTTATTATAATATCTCCTCTATTAATTTTATCCTTAAGAATTTGTCCAAATACTCTGCAAACTCCTGAATCCACAAGCAAAACTGATATTGTAAAATGCTGTTGCATTCTCACTATCCTAAGCACAGCTGTGCAAAACACCATTAGATCCACAGTGTGTTTCCTACTAGACAAGAAACCTCTCGGGGAAAAAGGATTATTCTTATATCTGCTGTATCCATGTATAACAGAGCTTCACACATGTAATAACTTTCATTCATTCAACAGATTTTTCGTCTGAAATGCACGAACAAATTTAAAAGAAATATTAAGAAGAGTCACTAAATGACTATTTTCATCAGTTCTCTAAGCATAGATTCATAAGCCTTCTAATTTTGAATGAAGAGAGTATCTGTTAAATGCCCTGTAGTAGCAAATCACATTTTACAGGCAGTAAATTAACCATTTAACAGATATTTGAGTTCTTATTACATACACATTGCACGAGGTGGTGAACAGGGCTCAGATTTAAAAACAGAACCTAGCTGCCATTTCTAAACAAGCCTC